GTAAAAAAAAAAAAAAAAAGAAAAGGAAAATTAATTAATTAATCCTGGAACTTGTGTGTATTTTTGTGAAGAATAATTAACGAAACCGTTTTAATCCATGTTGAAACATTTATAATGATATTTATAGGATTTTTAATCCTTTAAATAATAATTTGTTTTCTTCTAATTAAAATAAAAAAATAATATTGCAAAGGATAATAATCTTTGATTTTTCGATTTCGAATCTTTGAATATTCGATCCTCAAATTATCGAAGATGTAATATTGACAAATAAAATTAAATAAAAATTTGTTAATTACAAATAACCGATCTAATTTCGATTTTTTGAATATAGAGATGCTTCAATTCATTGGTTAAAAAGAAATTGAAAGTTAATTCAAGATTTATATAATGCGAAGAAAAATAGAATCTATATGTAATACTCTTGACATTGAGAATGCAGAAAACGTAATATTAGATTTGCAACGACCGACACACGTTCCTCCTTATCAATTTTCATTTTCGACGCAGATGAATATCGAAATGATTTACAATCGTATGATTTATTTTTTGCTTTTCTGTCACCGAGATTTACGATTTCTTTATAAAAAAAAAAAAAAAAAAACTTCGTTCTTCTGACAAAGAAAATCGAGAAACGATGTATGCTAATTTCACAATATTGATCAGAGAAATCTCGGATCAAAAATAGAAATTTTCGTTTATTCTCGTGAAAATTTTTCTCTATGTAAGAGTGCATTCAAAATTGTTATTTCGTTTTCCATTTTCCTCCAAGTATTTTATCTCGAAATATTCGATTTTCTCATCTATTAGTATGAAAAATATAATTCGGTTTTTTGAATTTCCGACAGATTCGACAAGCAAACTCGATCGACATGGAACCAGCTGGAATCTCGATAATACAGACGGGTGGAATCGCGGACAATGCGGGTGGAAAATCGAAAGACCTTGGCATTACGTTCAATCCGAGCTCGAGCATACAGGCTGCAAAGGAAAAGATCGTGACACCATGTAAGTGAACTTTTCAACTATTTATCTCAGCTTCCACGGATATTTTGAATTTTTAAAACTTTTTAATCTTTAATCTTAGAAGATATTTTTCGTAAAAAACTTTTTAATTTCGAAGATATTTCAAAAAATATAATAGCTATAAAGTTTGAGGGATGTTTTCAATTATTTCAAGTACAAAGATTAAAAATAAAAAAAAAATTTAAAAATTTATTTATTTTCTTTCTTGCTTTAATTCTGTAAAATTAAATTAAAGACGATTTACCCAATGAAAGAGCAATGAAAGTTTTCGTTCTTAATTTCGTGTGGAAAAAACACGATGATTAAAAAAACGAACGATGTAGAAAAAAAGAAAAGAAAATGAAAAGATGATTGGAGAAGGAGTTTCTTTAATCCCGATGAAATTCCACCAGATATAAAAATTCGAGCATACCGCTTAGAAAGGTGAATGTTGTACATTCGATCCTACTCGGTGAAAGAAAAGAAAGTACGGGCAACGCGGCATGCATTTCAAGAAAACAAGATGCCAGAGATCTCGCGATCAACCGGAAAGTACATCACGTGAAACGGAAGTCGTGAGCGGTGAATAATCGACCTTAATTATATTCCACGCTCCACATATTCATTTATCGTGAAAAACGACGAAAAAAACTTGCCTATGTTGCTAGAAAAATTCATATATTCAAATTCTCATGGAAAATATCTATCTATGATACATTTATTCGTTCAGTTCTTTTTTTGGAAAATGTAATTAGGGTATCACGTTAGATGAATGTCATTATGCGAGAAAGATTAAGTGGCTTCAATTTATTACTACAAATGTCACTAAATTATAAATGGAAACTATCAACAACTATCTAACAACTTTTAAACATTTTCGTTCTTGCGTGTCAAATTTCGGTTCAATTGACTTTTGAAAAATATTCGATGAATTGCATTTGCATATGTCAGAGATTTGAATGATTCTATGATGAATAATAACCCGGAAGATAGCTCATTCGTTACATAGTTGTGACATAGTGTGAAGTAATTATCACCGTGTTGAGGAATAATCGTTATTACCATTGTAGCGTGTAAATCAATAAGCTACAAATTGTCGGATAATAAAATCCGTATGTATTTGCTATAATTTTATTACGCCTCATTTAATTTTATATTTGGATTAACAGATCTGTTATTTGAGAATTGTTAAGGTTAGAAAAATGTTTCTAGGGATTGTTAACCTTAAAATCTTATATTTCTCTGAATATGATCATAAAAATAAATATTTTTCCCCTAGAAAATTGATTAATTGATAAATTGCGATATTGAAAATTTAATGCATCATTTTAAAAATGAAATGAGATTATACTACCATGAAAATGATTTTCAAGAAATATTAAGGGTACCTCATTTTTTACCACGACCATAAAACCATGTCGATACTCAGCAACAAGATTTAAACCCGGTTTCTAGAAGCACCGTTATGGAAACTGAGGGCTGTTGAAAGTATCGTGTTAATTTCCAACTTTTTGAGCTTTTTAACGTACCTTGAATTAACATAAGAAACAAATATTTATCAATCATTGATTAATAATCCTTGCATAAAGTATTGCAAAATTATTGGCGATTCAAAAAAAGATATATTTTTTTTTAATATAATTATATTTCTCGATAAAAAAAATTATTTAAAAATATTTATATATATTTAAAAAAATGATTATCGTATCATTTCATTCGAATAATCCACTGTGAAACGGCTAATTAATAAAAAATTTTTACATTAATACGAATAAAAATTAAGTGATTTGTATAATGAGAAAACTTTAAAAGACATTTCAAATTGAAAGGAATAACAGACTCACAATAATAAAGTAATTTCAATTGATGATTGAATTTATATTCGAATAATTCGAATAATCTGAATAAAGTTTTAGAATAAAGAAAATAAAACTCCACTTCCTAAATATTTTATCGTCACACACATTGTTTATTCTGATTTATAGATCCATTAACAAAGTACGTTCTTATGATTGCCCCACTTGCGAAACACGAAATCACGTGAAACAACATCCTTTATGGTGGCGCCACAATATCGATATAATCGTAGTGATTTCCCTCATTTTCCTCGTTCCAGATACTTTCGAGTGATACTTTCTTTCCAGTCTGTAAAAGTCATTGATAAACCTGATTCTTCAAGAGGTTTCTATTTGAAACACATCCAACTCATAATCTGTCCATTATTTGGATTCGTAAATTCGAATGAATGATCCTTCAGGAGGATCTTCAAATTTCGTATTTTCGTCTCATGAAAATCGATCCATAAATTCTGTTTATGATATTTTATTTTGACTTAGAAAGTTAATGAGATGCACTTTTATGAACATGTGTAAGTGAAAGGAATTTAATTCTGATTCTATATAAGATGATATGATATGATGATATTAGCTAATATGAGAATCCTTATGGTTTCTCCTTATGAAATATGTAAATTTAAAAAGTATACAAAATAATAAAATAAATAAATAAATGAAATAAATATTATGTTTCAATGAAGAAACTTTAAATGAAAATTTTATTATTATTAAACATAATGCTGATTATTTGGAGTTTTATATATAATTGATATACGATATGATATGAAAAGAATATAAATAGTGTTGTTTTGGAAACCGGTTTATAGACATTCACTGCGAACTTGACCTATTGTCATACTTGTATGATGACTCATTTGTGTAACATATATGAAAAGATGCAGTTAATTTATGAGCAATTGATAAGATAAAATTTGATTTCGATGAAATAATCAAATCATAACTAATCTTAGCCTGATATTTTAAATGTTTTTTTCAAAATTATGAAAATTAATATAATAACGATAAAGATTTCTTAGAAAATTTCTAACTATTCAATGTTCTTTAAATATTTTTTTAAATCAATATCTACTTAATCTTAATTAGGTATTATTATCTCAGCAAACTAACCTGAATTCAATTAGAAGAAGAAAAATTTTTTCTTATTTAGATTATAGAGAATTTGTCAAGCGAAGAGATGCTGAGGTGAACATGTTGCGGAAAGCACGGAAGCGACGTTAATTGGAGCGTGGAACGCTCGAGCAAGAAGTAGTCCTCGATCTTAGGGAGCTTTTGCGCGTGCTCTCATCGAATCGTGTGCTATATGAACCAGGCAGCGACTAAACTGCGGCGAGACAGAAATTAATTCCATGCGCGCTTTCTACTCTAGTCTCTCGACACGCTATTAATTCGAGAGGGACTCTATTGTTTCAGTTTTAGTTATATCGAGAAATCGTGATGTACTTTCTTCGAGTTTATGACGCTGCATTACAAGCGTATATTAAAAAAAATTGGAAAAAATTTCTGACTTACGAAAGAACGAAAGAAAAAATTTCATTCTATTTCAGATAAATTAAGTACATTTTTTATATGGTGAAATATCGATTTATCAGACTTTTTATCAAGATTTTTCATCGACATAATCATTTTCTTCTTTATCGAGCCAGGCGATTGAGTGATTGGTAATTCTTTTCATTATAAATAGATGGCGTGTAGAGTAGCATTATAAATTGTAATTGATATAGGAAATAAGGAGAACGTGGATTTTTTATCGAGTTCGAAAGGTAAATGATGATCCTTTCACTTTTCTAAGTCATGTTTTCTAATTATGAGCAAGTAACTTTCATCATAATTACAGGTACCACCTAAACTTCTTATAATTCTACTCGCAATTATGAAACTCAGATATCATCAACGAACTTCTATATAAATAGTCTTATGAAACAAAAATTTCAATTTACTATTAGCTATATATAATTTTCTGAAACTTCCTCATTCTTAAATAAATTATAATAAAATTTGTATCATGTTATGAAAAAAGTTTCCTAATTGCTATTTCAAGCAATTCACATTACTTTATATTTTTATGTAACAAGAAAATTCTTGTTATATAAAAAAGTAATAGCTTAAACATACATTAAAGATATTTTACAACATTAATAAACTATTACATTCAGTTTAAATGTTACATCAGAACATTTTGATTGATCTTCGTTCCTACGTATTCTGATTTTCATATTATTAAATGTTTTTCTTTTTTAATATAAAAAATTTTTTTACATATAAAAAATTCATATACATATACCATAAATCTAAAAACTAGTTTTTTCTCACTTTATATATTATCAATTTAAACTTATTTTTCATTAAATTATTCTTTTTTACAATTTGAATAAAGTATACATATATACATAACCTAATATACAAATATACATAATATAACCTATTTTTATATAAAGAATGTATACTCTGTAAAAGTTAGTGAATTTCTATATATATATATATCTTGAATAATATTAGGGTCTTCCAATAATTAGGCTTTTGTCAATATGGAATCAAACCTGAAAGCCGAGGTAAACGCCAATGAGTGATCGCTGTCACTCTCGATGGGACGTTAATGGAAATTGTGCGTGACACATGTTGCCTTCTAATTATATCCGGTCGGTATACGGTTAATCACGAGAACTCTACGTAATTCTGGGCCAAACGTGTTTCCGCATATCCTATGTCTAACTATGCACGCGAGAGAATCTGCGGATAAAATTGGGTTATCTGAAAATTGTCAACGAGTTTCGAAATTTCTAACCAAAATTGTGATTTTTTTTATTACAGCTTTATAAAATATAAATTTTTATCTTAACGATGATAGATTTTTTTTTAGTGATTTTTTTTTCATATATCTTAAAAGATAAACTCAAAGTTGATTTATTAAAATATATAATAGAATGATTCATTAAATATATTTTCAGAAATTATGTGGATGATTTGGCTGAATACATAGAATAATTCATTTATCGTAATATTGTTGAAGATTCTGAAAATTACTTAAGAAGATATTTAAGAAATATATTTAACAATGATTCATGTTTAATGTTCCAGGAAAATTTGTTAAAATCTATTTTTCTCATAAATTATAGAACTAAAAAATTTAGAAGTTTATATATGCATTTTACATGATACTTGAAAAATATAAATAACTTTTTTTATCATTAATTATATCAACTTGTTTTATTCAATATATCAGAAACGAAATTGAATGAAGAAAAGAATTTAGTAAAATATATTCAATGTTAATATAATTTTTATAATAATTATGTTATAAATATTGTGAATGAAAAATCTTAGATTCTACATTTCACATTTATCCATTCAAAAATATGACCTATGCTATTGATTTCTTCATCATTGATAACATTATTTTATCATTTTTAATATATGTATACGTAATAGTGACCCGAGATTAGTAGCTCGCTGCGATAAATGGAACAGAAATACTTACAATCAGGCTTGGATATTGTTAAATAAAAATATACAATTCTTGCTACATCGCTTATTGAAAAAATATATATTGATTATAAAAATATAATTTTTTAATTATTCATTTATTTTGGAAAATTTTTTAAGTTTCTTTTAAAACTATTTATTTTTCCAATCGTAAGAGATTTTAAGAAATGATAAATTTCTACAATACTGACTATCATTCTGCAAATTTATACATCTATATATAATCATATTGGATCCATGATTTTTCTCGATAAAAAATCTAATTCATTTTCCACTTTCAGATATATTTGATTTTGAATAATTTGTTCTGATCAGAGTTAAAATTTCTGCAAAATTTTTAATCATTTTTATAGGTGTAATTTCATATACAGGATGATACAAAAGTGATTCAAGATTGTATATTATTGAAAGGTAAGTTAGATTCTCTTATAAGCACATAGTTTCATGTACACATAGTATCATATACACATATTCTCAATATCTTTTTACAAATCTAGGATTTCACATACAGAATTCTTCAAAATAAATTAATTCAAGATACAAATACAGATTTAGAACATCTATGTCAAACCAAAGATCTTCAACACTCTTACATAAATATAAGATTTACAAAATATCCTAAAAATAACATAACTCAAGATGTTCAAATAAATTTAAAATATAATTTTTTAGNTATATATATATATAAGATTTCATATATAGGATGATTTTAAATTTAACATATAAACAACAATTCTAATAGCAGAATAGCGAATAAATTGCTAGAGACCTCATTTCCACCTTCGTCTAATGCCCTACCCTACAGGATTCTAGATAGTAGAGCAAGTGGTGCAAAGAGGAAATTTCGCATGATCCAGGGGCAATTCCATCTGGAAACGGCATCGATCGTGCACGTCCACGGTTACCTTAATGAGTCGGGGAGGGGCTGCCGACGTAATTAAGAAAATTGCAGCCGATCGAGCGTGGATCTGCCGTGCGCCACGAAAATCTCGCACGTGCTTGCGAGCATTATTCCACCTCGGCTCGAATATCAAGCCACGGCGGCTCCTCTAATGTTCCACCTTTCTCCTGCCGCGGTTTCTTCATTATGCATTCACCGCGTGTCCCTTCGTTAAACCTCTTTCTTCGACCAATAGCCATCTCCTTGACATCTGTATTCCACCGAAGCCTCTGTTTACTTTGGCGCCAACGATATCGGCCACCACTCCTATTACCATGTTCCTAAGCCGTTTCGTCCAATCTCCCTAACTGGGAGATCTAGACTAGTGTGTTATATCGCGCGGTGAAAATTTAAATGGAAATTCATCCTTTCGCGCAGATATGGCTGCAATTGGTTTTATAATTTTTCATAGTTATTCGAACTGTTCAATTTCACGTCCGTTAAGGAAAATTCATTCTCTTTGACGCACGAACTCTTAGCGAAGTGATGTATTATGTAACTCGTGTTCTCATATGCAATCGCGAAAAAGTTCTTTAGAATTCTAAATTGAAAATGAAGAAAATGATTTTACGAATTTATTATTCTTTTGCCGATAAATTTGATTAACAAATTACAATTTGATAAACAAAATAACGTGTTATTGTATTCAAATACGCTTCTTTGTATTTTTTATGCAAAACTATATTCTTGAATTTTAAGAAAACATATGATTATTATATAATTTATGAAATTTTTGTACATATTTTGAAAGAAATCTATCTTTTTTAAAAATGATGAAATGATGATTTGTTCGAAAATGTAATATTTTTTCTACAATTAAAATATTTCATTTGCAATATTTTAGGCAATAACGATGCATCAAATTTTCTTCACAAGAATTTTTTTATAGCAAGATCGAATTCAACTTTTGAGCTTAGAAAATCATAGATTTGTTTTTTTTTTTTTTTTATTCGTTCCAGGCTTGAACAGTTTGACAGATGAAACTGTCAGCGGTTGGGAAATATTTACCATTGCCCTTAGTGAGACAATTGGCACCGCCATTTTGGTATTTATAGGATGTGCAGGCTGCATTGGGAGTTTGGGGATTAATCCTTCAGTATTACAAATCTCTTTAACATTTGGACTAGCTGTCTTGATAGCTATACAGGTGAGAAGTCTTGAAAAATGATCCTATATTATTTTAGATTGTTGTTTTTTTGGATAAGAAAAGATGAATTTTGTTTTTAACTTTCTAATTGTATTTTGGAGTTTATGATTCAAAATTTCATTGAATTTTCTTTATATTCTGGAAGATATAAATGAATTTTAATAAGAGAAATATTTAAGAAAATATTTAATAAATTTAAATGAAAAGAATCTAATTTAAAAAAGAACTAGAACAGAAAAATATTAATAATTTTAATCTTTTATAATGTTTTAATTAACAGTTTTTGATATCTGTTCAGAATTTGCATGGTGCATAAAATTTGATTATAATTAATTCAATGTTAGTTTAAATTTTCGTTTTGTTGAACGAGAAATAATGTTAATGAAGTTCAGATAAGTTGATTCAATTCGACTTTCCTGTTTGATACTTCTAAAACTCATCGTCTATTTACAATTGCTAATCAAACCTATCTAAAGAGACAGAAAATCAAAAGGTCAATGATTAAATTGAAATTCTATTTTTAAATTTCCGGCAGCCTAATTCCATTTCAATCATGTACAATCTCTTTTTTTTCTCAAAACTCTATTTTATTCTATTTTTAAATTTTAGAGATCTTTTCGATTATAAAATTCCTTCATAAATGCTTTTTTATTTTAAATATATTTTATATTCCTTCCACTTTTGTATTTTATTTTTCACAGAGCATTGGACATATCAGTGGTGCACACATAAATCCCTCTATAACAATAGCAGCACTGATCTTAGGGAAAAAATCTTTATATATGTCAATCTTGTATATTATTGCCCAATGTATTGGTGGAGTGTTAGGCTATGGTCTTCTTAAGGTAAAACGCTATATTAAAGATCAATACTTTAATATTTTATTTTTTAAATTTATTATTTTTCTCCTATTTATATATTTTTGTATAATATTCATGATATATTTTAATTTATTTTATTTCAAAATTTTACATGCTTTATTTTCTATTCTTTTTTCTTTTTTTTCATATTTTACATCGTTTGTATCATTATAGTAAAGATAATTATTATTTCACATTAAAAATTTATTTCATTGTTTGATTCTTAATGATGCAATCTAGACATTTGCACATTATTTCACACTTTTTTCTTCTCACCAGGTGATAACTCCAGTGAATCTAATGTACACCACTTCTCCAGACACAGCATCGTCCTTCTGCATGACTGACATCCACAAAAATCTGAACATATTTCAGGGTATAATGGCAGAATTCGTAGCAACCTTGATTTTGGTTTTATTCGCGTGTGGTTTATGGGACGATAGGAACTCGAAGAACACAGATTCGGTGCCCATAAGATTTGGTTTCTGTATCACGGTACTTTGCTTAATTTTTATCCCCTATACCGGATGCAGCTTGAATCCAGCAAGGACATTGGGCCCAGCCATATGGAATGGCTATTGGAGAAATCATTGGGTCTATTGGTTAGGTCCAATCTGTGGCGCAACTGCAGCGTCGCTGATATATCGATATATATTTCTACACAAGAGAACTGAGACTGATTTTGAACAAAGAGAATAGGAACAAAAAGTAATAATGGTAGGTAAAGATGAAAATAGGTAAATATCGTGCAATCCTATTTTCTTTTTGTAAATTAGAATTATTTTTAACTTAAAGATGACGCAGATTTTCATTTCTTTGGTTAAAATATCTTATTTAATATTTTTTTATTATTTCTATTTTCATTTTTTAATTTTCAATATTAAAAAATCACATGTTATTTTTACTAAAATCAAGTCTATTAATAATTTTAGAATTCTAATATGATCTTGAAAACATTGATTCACATAAGTTTTATACAATTTCTTCTATTCTATTTTCTTCTTTATACAAGAAATTTCTTTCATTCTTTTTATTTATAACTTTATTCAATTTATTTCACCGAAACCAAGGAAGAGAAATGTGAAAATAGCTACATTAATCGACTATCATTTTACTTTTAGCGAGCAAAATCGCATTTCGATAGTCCATGTTCGCAATTCGAGCGAGAAATCTTAATCGTATTGCACAAAGCGGAAGTGAAGGATTGAAATAGTCTCGAGGAGGAGTTCTCGGTTGCGTAGACTGATTTTTTTCTCTTTCCATCGCTGTTTTTTCTTATATTTTCTTTTCTCACGAAAACTTGTTACACGTAAAATTAATCGTGGAATTTAGATTATGTGCGAATCAACAAATAATACGATTTCGACGAAAGAATACCAAAAAGTAGTATGAGTGGCAGAGCGATTAAAAATTGTAAAATATTTTTTGAAAGAAAATATTATGTATATAATATTTAAGATAAATCATCGATAAATGGAACTATGATTTGTACAATATATTTCATTATAATATTCTCTTAGTGATGAATTTTTTCAGAATTCTTCGATATATTTTCTTTTTTATTAAAATCGCGATCTCGTGTTTTTGGATATGAAGATAGAGGTAAATAAATTTAATACATTTTAAAAAATCGATTGTATGTTTTTATCCTATTTTCTCATTGTTTCGATATTTTATAATCATCTATTTTATTTTCGTTTCACAAAAATAGAAAAAATTTTAGAGGTTAGAACTTTTAACTAGGATTATAAGCTTTTCAAATTTCAAGTTTTTATTATATACATTTCTATGTATTTACTACACTCTAATATTTATATTTAAGCGTCTAATATTATCAATTCCAAGTCTAACCTATTCTATCTATATTAAATTTTTAATAAAATTTTTTTTCTCCAAAAATTGAAATTAAAAATCACCTACTACATTCCCGCGAATTTCTTTTCCACGGTTCACCGATCCTCCTGCAGATGGTGCATCTAAATTGTTTACAGTTTCGGGTTTGTTGTACGCGGCAAAAATAACCTCGCTTTATTTGGCATTCAAAAATAAACGACGCGATAATGCGCGCGCGCTGACGCTACCGCGCACGCGAGTAAACGAAATGATGGTGGGGTGGTTACATGGAGTGAGAGGTTAGCCACTGAATCAACTCATCGAAGCGACCACGTGCCGTGACGATAAAAGTGCGTACGATCGTACCCGTTCACAAACAATCGGGACGAGTGACGGTGCAGTGCACTGTGCTTCTCCATCGTGCCTTTCAATCGATTCTCGATCGTTACCTCTCGATCGTCATCTCTCGATCTCTGGCCGCGCGTCAGTGTGTACAGTGACTGTGTGAATACAGCTCTGGTGATCATGTCCTCTAACGATCTGCGTTCAGGTAAGTCATGGATAAAATCAATCAAATTGTATCTATATAATCAATGTTTTTCAATCTTTCTTTGTTGTTGGTATGGTATTATATATTTATTTATAATGATAATTCAAATTTTATGATAATTCAAATTTTTGTAGGTAATATAGAATTTTTTAATATCTGATAGATTGAATACACGATGAATTTTTAGATGTGTAATATTGTAAATTGTACATTATATGAAAGTAATATTGATTTTGAGCGTGATGAAATAAATTTTAATTTATAATGTATACTTAAATTCCATTTTTTATTATTTGAATTTAACTATAGAATTGAATTTGAAATTATAAAAATTAGTAAAAAAGTTTAAATTATTTTTGAAATATTTTTAAATAAATTAAATTATATTTAATTGCTTTGTTTATTGTTGCGATTCATTCAAAATTTTATCTAATATGATAATAATATGATAATATGAAATATTATCTAATATGATTCATATGTGACTCATAGATTGACAATATAGATATAAATATTCATAGTAAAAAATAAAAGTTTAAAACGATCATTTTCTTAAAATTTTTAATTTTTGGTTTATATATAAGGAGAAAGTGTATGCAATTTGCATAGCGAAATATTTAAAAATATTAGAAAGTAGGTTATTTATAAAATATTGAGTTTTATTTTCATACAAATATTAATTTATTTCATGTGTACCATCATTGATGTACTCCATATATAATTTGATAGAGACATCTATGATTTAAATGGAAAGTTCAATATGGGCTATATATGTAACTTATGTAATCTATATATGTAGTACTCTATGTATTAAATATATATAATATTGTGCGATAAATCTATTAAGTGGATAAATATTTTAAAATTTTGTTTAATACTCTATATGCATATATATATATACTTCACTTTATTTCCGTTTGTTTCGATTATTCTTTTGGTTTGAATAGAGCATAAGGTGCAAATTCATAGGACGATAAATATCAGTCATTATTCTGATTTCTTAAGTCACTGAGTTAATGGTATTCTTACGATTTGTGTGAAAAAGTTTCTTCTTATCAATTTATTCTTAAAAATATTTCAAATATTGATCGAAATATGAATAAAAGTAAAAAAATTAGAAATTTACGAGATAGACTAATAGATTCATGTTTTGTAGGTTAGATTTGGTTAAATTAGCCATCAGTTTAGTGATTCGCTTCTTTTGATCAAACATTTTGTTATTTGCATTGAAAATATCGTATATTAAATATAATAAATATAAATAATAAATATTTTGTGTGTTCTTATTGAAATTCTAAGCTTAAAAATGAGTAAACTAAAGAAAGAAGTCAATACAATATTGAATCATAATATATGATAAACTTTTATTTGATTAAAAAAAATAACTGAAAGTTGATTCAAAAAAAATTCGATGAATGTTGATGAAAAAAAAAGAAAGAAGAATATAAATTATTTAATTGAAACTGTGAAGTGAAATACCGAAGCATGGATACTGATCGTGGGTATAATAATGTTTTTATAATATGTTTGTTTTTCGATAGTATCTTATGATTCGGTTTGCGTATGTATTGAACTTTATTACGACAGAACGAAGATTTTATTTTGAAATGAAATTTGTTTTGCTTTTTAAAGTTCTATTTTTACACATTTTGTACTTTGAAGACAATTTATATATCTGTTTGTAGTAAAATCGCGAATGCAATAATATCCGAAATTCTTGCCACAGTTTGTTTCATAATTTCTGACTAATTAAAATACAGAAACTCTATCTATATAAATAACAGATATCTGAAAGATAATTAAAACAAAACAAATTTTTCTCAGTTTAGCGAAATATTTTATACATGTTTAAATTATACATAAAATATTAGAAGTTACTTCAATTTTACTTTAAAAAAAAACTGAAAATTAATTTTTTTACATTTCATGCCAAGAAAAATTTATCTATACATTGCTTTCTTTTTAATTTTCAATTTCTTTTTTACTGTACAATTTTTCACTTTTTTTTTATGTTTATTTAGTATTTATCAAGTAGTATTTATGTTTATATAGTATTTCTCAATTTCTCTGCTCTTTTCATATCATTATTTCATATTCCCCAAATAATATAACATATTTTTACATCAGTGTTTACATATAAGGTTCCATTTTTTGAAAAGAAAGAATAATTTTAAGACACATGTTAATTAATGTTTTCTTATATTTGTGTGAAAATTAATTATTATAATGAAAAAAAATGCCACGATTTTAAATTATTTGATATTGAATTCTGTTGATTAATCTTACTTTGTTATCACAATTAGTCATATACATTTGCACATTCGACGTTGAGACTTTAACACTTATGTTAACAAGTGATATATATTTGATTTAATAATTGGTGATCACACGAGAAAAGCATGATAATCACATTTCCTGACTACTTTGTGACTAACAATAGCATTCAGATATAAAATGTGAAAAAAATAATCAAAACAATATAATATAATATTACATATAAAAATATAATAAAAATAATTTTACGATTACCATTCCAAATCATGATAGACCATGCTCTTTTTTTTTTTTTTTTCAAAATTTTTAAATTTAAAATTGTATAATTTTTCCGTAATCAAAATTATATTATTCAAACTCGAATCGTTGAATGTTCATTTATGGTCGTAAATCTGATCAAGGTAACATAATCATCCGTGGTAATTATTGGCGTCTGTTTATTACATATGATACAGATGTCGAAGATCGATTAAACCAATCGTAAAAAAACAATAATATGATTACATAAAGTAATGAATCGAGTTCAATTTTTTCGATTTGCATTTTCTTATTAATCCATGACCTTGAAATATTTCATTAGCGAAACATCAGATCAAAATTGCACATTGATGAATAATTAAATTTTCATAAGAAATAAGTATCTTTGCGAGTACGTGTAATATATTTTTATTTCAAGAATGTTTTATATATTTCATTAGAAACATTTATCGAATTGAATTATACACGTTTCTTCTTATTGCTTGATTTTTCTTTAATCATTGAAGCTGAAAAACAAAAAGAAATTTTTATTTATAATGAAGTTAGAATTTATGCATATATCGATTAAAATTTCGAATTTTTAATAGAATAATATTCTATTAAAATAATAGCTATATTCACTTTATTTATAATAGAATTAATGTATGACTTTTAATTTTATTTATGTTTTTATTTCGATTATCGTTTAGTATTTTAGAATATCTCTTTTATAGAAAATAGAAAAAAATTATTATCATTGACTGAAAAGAAAAGTACATAATTTTTAACGATAATTTCAACATTTTTAAATTCTTTGTTACAGAGTTAATTTTAATAAAATGATTAAATTAAATTAAATTAAATTAAATTAAATTTATATATTTACATATCATAATTATACACCATATGAATTAAAAACTTTTTCTTTTTTCTTTTTACTTTAATAAATTTAACACCACAAAATTCTTTAAACTAACTTTTTTATAAGAATAAAACTAGATCATCTTTTTCCTTCTTTTTCCAAATAAACAATTTAAAAAAAGAAAAATTAAGAATTTAAAAGAATTTTAAGTTTTGTAAAAAAAAAAAAAAGAAAAGAAAAAATTCCACAATATATTTTAACAAATATTAGATCGCAAAATTCATAACTTCTTAACAAGAATAGTGTTAATTCATAAACACCTTGAAAAATAAAAAGAAAAAGAAAACGAACTATTCAAGAGAGAAAAAAAAAAAAAAGAAAAGTAGGAAAATAAAATATCGCTTGGTATACGGAATCGAGTATTTGCCAATTGCTCACGTGGCTGAATGTAAGCAGGCTCGATAGCATCGCGCGATCAAACTTTTGATTGCGTAACAATGTTGCTCCATGGTACACACAATTTTCTACCGACCGTTATACTTTCTTTTTACGATCGAGCAAGTGGTATCGTTCTGAAACCGGTTCCTCTCTGGTTATCGTGGAAGTTCAGAGGTCAGAGGTGCCTCTAAATTAACTTCGTTTTAAATTCGAAGTAACCGACTTTACTTTGATTTTCAGTTGAATCAAAACTCAAGTTTCAATTTTCTTTTTTATCGACAGAGCTATCACGAATAAAATGAATATGCATATATATTCATCTCTTTAAAGAAAATTTATCGAAAGTAATACGATTCGTGGAAGATTGGAATTCCTAAAGATTCGTAGAAAAATAAAAAATTGAATTTTTTAATTTTTGATATCTCTAATAATATTGATAATAATAACACGTGATTATTACATGATTTTAGATGGTATTAATTTTATTAGCTTTTCGATTTGATATAAGCTACGGATTTCCAATATGTGGTATCTTAAGTTGAATAGTTTTTAATATAATTGTTATACAATTGTTTTTCTTTGTATATAATTAATTTGTATAGTGAATATTTTTTTTTTATTTAAATATATCTATCGTTAAAATACTTATTCTATACAAAAATTATTTTCGAAATAATATCGTATGGTATAAATATGAAAAATATAAGAGAAATACAAAATTTAAAAATGATCAAAGCAATAAATTTAAGCTAGTATTTTTATTTTAAGTTAGATCTATTTTTTTATCGATATAGAATGTTCATAGAAAATGCATATAAGGTAATCTAGAATAGCTTTTTCCTCAATATTTTTTTGTTTTAGATAAAAATAAATAGCAGATAAAATGCGATCGGTTATAAAACATCGGTCTCGATTGGATCTGATTATTCACTTATTTTCCACGTTTATCGAATATTATGGAAATAACGTTATCATTCGTGATGACACAGTTACTGATAGATAAGTTTGTTTAAAATAAATTTAAACAAAGAATGAATATCAATGTAGCGATTGACATAAAGTTAGAAAAATTTTCCAATTGGTGACCATAACGATACTAGCACCCCCTTCATCTTTCTGTTATTTTTTGCAATAAAACTTCTCCTATCCAAATTGATATTCATTAAAGATGAAAAAAGGGATGTTCTGG